AAACAAGCACGCGGCTTACTTAGTGGAAAGCGGACACTGTCGCCTTCAGGAACGCAGCAAAGCCAGGAGAGTCACGAGCGCGTTGCCAACCCTTTAGGAACCTTCTCAAACCCAATTTGAAGGACTCCATGCTGTATTCCTGAGGGAAAACCCACAAGGAGTTCATTCCACAACCTAATTGTCCGTGGGAGAAAGCTTCTCTGAAACCGTACCGGTACATACGGAATGGCTTTTCTTAAATTATTTTCATTTTTGCCCGATGGGGTGTAAGACAACCCGAGGCAAGAATCGGTGAGTACCTTCCGTTATAGAGTCGATTGGCAAATCTTTTCACTCGATATCAAGCATTGTAAATAAACAATGAATAAAAAGACTTTAGTCTTGAACACAAAACGTATAATATTTCGATGGGTCCTAAGTATAAGTCCCTTCGAGACCATGGACGTTGCAATACGTCCGAAACGTCGAGGTAATTAAAATGTGTTTATACGTTATTAAGTCCCGAATTAAAAATCAAATAATGTGTGAAAATCATGAAAGTTTGAATCAAAGTATGAAGGCCAAACTAACAATTTGATCATTTTCAGTTTTTTGGGGGAATGTTTCATTTCATTATAATCTAAAGCTCTAAAGCTGGCGTTAAAAAGCGTAGCGTTGTTAAAACGTCATCAAACAATGTCAAGGAAACCTCGAAATACAAGGAAATCTTGAAAATATACCAGATTGACATTTTTTAAGCTTCTGTAATATTGTGATTTTGCGCTTTGGCCGTTATACATAGGACCCATCGATTTAAGATAAAACAATTGCTTAAATCTATGTCGAAGAAAACGTGACAGCCTCAACGATTTGACAGTGTTCAGGCTTCACCTGGCAAGTATCCGCCGCTGGATACACCGTAGCATATAGAGACAGGTACCTATCTTATTGATCAAATATTATGTAAATAAGAGGTACTCATTCATTATATATATTTTTTTATAATATCAAGGGACGGGACGAACAAGTCCTGCGCCTGATGGTAAACTACACATCTGTCCATGACAGTTGCAGTGCTATTCAGCTTTTTAATCGCAAAGATTTGAGGCGCCATGCCAATGCGCCCGTCATTCTGAGACATAAGTTGACAAGTCCCATGTGCCTGCAATTTCTTACCCTTCAAAACCGGAACACAGTAATGCTGACATTACTGCTTGGCGGCAGAATTAGGTAAGGTGGCAGTACTTCCCTGGACGAACTCTTTCACAAAGAGCTCTAACTATTAGTGTACTTTACTACAGAAATTGCAAACCATAAAACCTCAAAATATGGCATACGTACCGACCAGCGACCATACTGCACTTATAGCACCAATAGTTATTTGTTACGCAAGGCTGCAATGTTGTTGTTTGCCGCGAGTGCTTGTATTGAAACCAGAGCAAGCGAAGGAAGCTAAGATTGAACCACGAGCGAAGTTTCAAAAATAGCTTCCTGAGCGTAGTGAGGGTTTCAAGCCACGAGACGCAAAACACTTTGCTGCCGAGCGAAACACCCAACTTTTCACCTCACTAAAGCGAGGAAAATGGTAGATGAATGAAAAACAGTTGAATTAAAAACATAAGTTTTTTTTTTAAATTAAAAGAAAGTTTGTGATTCGCTCTGGACCTTTTGGAGGGAAAAGTGTCGTTTTTATTTTGACTTTCAATTATTTTGTGAAATCTAGTTAATAGTGGAATAGTGCTATTGTGCCTTAATCGAAGATTAAAACGCGAAATTATACGAATCTCGAACTAGAATACCCGTATCGGCCTGTTTTAAGGAATCCCGAGTCAATCCAAGCACGCCGCCTCAAATTGCCTATCCTCTTTGTGGCGGCCATATTTACAGAAACATAATTAAACCTCATGTTTAGGCTGATGGCTTTGCCAAAGCCTTAATAAATAAAAAAAAAAAGAAAAAAGAAAGTTTGTCTTCGGATGCGTTCTGAATTTAGACTTCATAAATTTATTGATATTATTGGAATTATTTTAGTTTTTCGACGAATTAAAATAATGTAATATACGCAATTAGTTATCATTGGCAATTTAATGTCAACAATAATAAGAATAAAATATACCAACTTATTTATGTAATATATATATATATATATTACATAAATAAGTAACGTACGACAAGTCGCGTAATTGAACGTGTTATTTTTTTTAATCGAAAGAAAAAGCTATTTGCACCACAGTTCGTCGTCAAGCTCAAATTTCAAAAACCTTTTCGACGCTAGAGAGCAAAAAACGCTATTGCGCGCAGATTTCCAAGTAGAAAGAAAGCCTTTCCTTTGCCTTTAGTGAGGTGAAAACAGTATTTTACTGTGTACATAGAATACAATAGACAGTTAATGTATGCCATCGATTCGATAAGAAGTGTATTGCCCAATGATTCACATCGACACGTTCGACATACCGTGAATAAACAGAATGTTTAAACGACTGCATCTCTTACTCTGAGCAGGTTAAAAAGCAGGGGTAAAAAGAGATGTAGCAAAATTAATAGTAGAGCAGCATAAATAAAGACAAGAATTTTAATACTGTAATAAGTATAAAAAAATATGAAAATGAAGAAAGCAATAACGAGGAGATAAAATGAAAGTGGCAAGAATACAAAAGTAAAATGGCGTCGTCAAATTTTACGCAACTAAAGGGCGAAAATTTTAACAATTGGATACTAAATGAAAAAGGGTTACCCCACATCCTAAAAGAAAATCGAAAGTAAGTCTTCTTTACTCGTACTTAATACGAGTAAACAAAGGCATGTGCAGATGAAAACTTATCTCCTTAATTCAAGTGTAAGCTGCGGACTGTCGAAAAAAGAAGGTTGCGTCAGGAAAATTTAGGCAATCACGCAAGTTATCGGAAGTAATTTTATTATTGCCATATTGGGTCATTTTTAATAGACAAACGGGGCCCATGGCGAGAAGCGCCATCTACATTAAAACTAAACTAATTGGCTATGTCACCCGAAGATGAGTGGTTCTTGTTATCTAAGGCCCAACGCGTGCGAGTACACGTAGGGTGCGCTAGGTGGAGTTGACACGGTGCACCTAATAAAACATTGATTTGTAAACTTTTACTTTTTTCTAACCTAAAAGACAGATATTTCTAACATGACTTCGGACTCATTTTTTTCCGTACTCTAAGCCTCAGAGTCATGTCTGTCATTCGGTTTTAGTATTTAGTAGCAAGAGCTCCTTGTGAAAGAGTCTACAAAAGAGTACTGTAGCGCAGGCTGGATATATTATATTATAATTTTATATTTAGAACAGTCTAAAAAAAATAAGAAGGTGGTTTTGTATTTAGAACTAGATAAAAAAAGATTGTCGGGTCCGCGCTAAAAAGTGTCCGAACTTATAGGGCGCTAAAATCGTATACAGAGCGTCATTCCCGCTTTAGTCTTCGTTTGTTCGACTGACAGCGAAGCAAGCAAAATTAGACAGTACTGCGATGACATTACAATTTAAATTCAACGTTTTAGCTTTTTCATATTCCTTTACATGTCACTACGTTTAAATAGGTTGACTTGGGACATTTTTTTCGTGGTTTTTGTATTAGTCGTCCATTTATTTGTAAGTCAATGGATTGTCGTCAAAGGAACATCTCGGTTGTTCTGGACCACAGACCACATAAATACTTCTGGACGAATGCGCTCCCACAGTACCTACTGCCGCCATATCTATTTATGCCGCCAAGCAGTAATGTGACCATCATTGCGTTCCGGTTTTAAAGGGTAAAAATTCAAAATTCAAAAAATTCAAAATTCAAAATAATCTTTATTTCATAGGTAAGCATTATTACACTTGAAATCGTCGCAATGGTTAAACTCTACCGCTCATTCGTAAGGCAGATTCCCCTGAGAAGAATGAGCAAGAAACTCTAGGGGTTGCTCTTTGTAAATAGCATTTACAATATTTATTTTTTTATTTCAAACATCAGAGATCGAGACTACCTCCATGAGCTAAACGGGTTACTACCACGGATTTTTGTCATCCAAGTACGCAGAAGTTGTATAATAACCTTTAGTATAAAGTTTTTGTTTCACTATAGTTTTAAACCTCGTGAAAGGCAAATTTTGTAAATCAACCGGAATCTTGTTATAGAAGCGTATACATTGCCGCTTAAATGATTTTTTGACTTTTTGAAAAGAAAAGCTAAGGTAAGGCTGCTAAAAGATTGACTGCATGTTTGTAATTAATGCGTGGAGTCGTAATCAACGCCATGCAGCCGAGACCACGAATGCATGAAGTTGATAACGACTTCCCGCATTTCGGCTGCATGAAGTGGGTTTCGACCGCGTGCAGTGAAAGCGTGAAGTCGAAGTCCTCTTTTTGCGTTGTTGGGGTTAAAAATAATGGAAATTTATTGTAATATTATTCACAAACAAATAAAACTATCTATATTTTTGATTGGAACTATTTACATAAATATCAACAATTTAAAGCACACATGAGTAGCTTATTTTTAAAGACCATTGGTCAAAGTTTATCCACTTTGTAAGATTTTAAGTACACAAACGAATTATCTTTTTTGTTATACAGTTATAGGCCGCTATTAATTCCATATATATATACATTTTTAAATCGATGGTAGTAAAAAGAAAAATCTGCCTAAACAGAAAAATTTTTTGCGTATAAAAATCATATTTCTTCTTACTATATATAGCCGCTACATAGCCGCGCAAATTAAAATTAAATAATACTTAGTGTCTGTAAGACCTAACTCTATTTTTTATTACTGTAAAACCACAGGAAAGGCTATGTAGGCAATGTAACATAGTTTTTAGATGACTTATTTTTGTATGATATGACAATAAACAGATAACTTAATATGCATATTTTTTGAGTTTCCCAATCCCTGTAAGTATGCTAACCAAAGCATTGTAAAGTATAGTTATTTCACTGTTTATTGCACATTTTATTTGTGTACGCCTTGGGTAAATGTTCCATACAACAGTGCCCTATGATAAAGTGCCCTTGCATGTGTAGCTCCAAGAACTTGTCTAAGTATATTTAACAAGTTTTCAATTATTATGAAGTTGTTTGGACTTCGAACAAATTTTTCAAAGTGAAACCTTTTAAGGGTTCTACAGCCAATCCGATATAATTATTGTAAACGGGCTGTACTTCAGCGTCAGCATTTGTCTGTGCCATTTGAGAGGCAAGGTACAAGTTTGGCCCCATTTCTCCTCTTGGTTCACCAATTTCTTCCAGTTCATCTATATCATCAGTGGCAGGTTTAGCAAACTGTAAATTTTAAAACAATATCATGAATTATAAAGGTTAGTATGCAATCTATATTTGCTATATTTAAGTACTTTTGCGATCTATAACATAACACACAGCATTAATACAACGTACAAGAACACATACGCAATTATTTAAGTAGTTTATTTTATTTTGCGACACACACGTCCGTCACTCATCTCAGCTCAGGGCTCATTGAAAACCAGCGCCACAGTCAATTGCGGCTGTGGCATAAGCTGAATGAAGTCCTTTTGCGTACGCCACAACCGCACACATGACAGTACAACATTTGTAGTTGTTATATTTAGTATTTTTCTGTTTTGCTCTTTGTTTGTTATTGTCTTATTTAATTTTATTTTAATTTTGTTTATTACGTCTTTTTGTTTTGTTTTGCTTGTCTAAGTAGTATCAATATTTTTTTTGTATCTATGTGTTGTGGCGTTGCAATAAATGTCTATTCTATTCTATTCTATTCTATTCTATTCTATTCTATTCAATCTTTTGTTACATAAGCATAATAAATTCAATTGTTGATCATTTATACCTCATTGTCCCAATTCATTTCCACACCAAATATTGGTTTCTCGTTGTAGGCCTGATGTAATGCAGTTAGTTCGTTATGTAGATGTTTTAATCTTTCTTGAGGATCGGCTCTGAAACCCAACACATAGCCACCGGAGGTTGGCCGAACCACAAGGACTAATGCTTCTCCGAATTTAGAATCTCGCATTGAAATCTGAAGTAAAATATGAATTTTAGCAAAAGAAAATACTGACGCCAATAAAACAAAATACCGATGCCAGTAAAACAAAATGTTGGCGTCAATAAAACAAAATACTGATGCCATTAAAATAAAATATTGACGCCAGTAAAACAAAATAC